TTACAGATTAAATGAAATTTAAATTAAAGTGTAAAATTTACAGATTAAAGTGTAAATTTTACAGATTAAGTAAAAACAGATTAGAGTGTAAATTTTACAGATTAATGTGTAAAATTTACAGATTAATCTGTAAATTTTACATTTTAAAGTGTAAAATTTACACTTTTAAGTGTAAAATTTACAGATTAAAGTATAAAATTTACACTTTAAAGTGTAAATTTTACAGATTAATGTGTAAAATTTACACTTTAAAGTGTAAATTTTACAGATTAATGTGTAAAATTTACACTTTAAAGTGTAAAATTTACAGATTAAAGTATAAAATTTACAGATTAAAGTGTAAAATTTACAGATTAAGGTGTAAAATTTACAGATTAAAGTGTAAAATTTACAGATTAAAGTATGAAATTTACAGATTAAAGTATGAAATTTACACTTTAAAGTGTAAATTTTACAGATTAATGTGTAAAATTTACACTTTAAAGTGTAAAATTTACAGATTAAAGTGTAAAATTTACAGATTAAAGTGTAAAATTTACAGATTAAAGTGTCAAAATTAAAAAAAAAGTAAAGTGTGCAAGTGGCACTAATACGCTTCCGTACATTGGATAAAGAGTAAAGCTTTCTTCTCAAGTACATACACACAAATAGTTCCATTTTTATAAGATTGGACATGTATAAATGCCTTTATAATAAAGCACCTTACTTGAAGTTGTCCTAAAAACGGTTTTATTTTCTTTCCTATGGTGAGGGTATTGCAGATGTCTTCTATTTTAACAAGGGGTGTTTGGTTTCTCACGAGAGCTCTCATTTGAATTTCCGCTGCAAATCTTTCATCTTAAAGAAACATTTTTAAAAGCGCATTAGAACATGCCACACAAAATAATTAAGGAAATCTTGCACGAAAACCGCTCGGTTGTTACGATCAAAATGCCATTTTGCTTAGAATATTTAGCTTTGAATCAATTGTAATATAAAAAAACCTATCTGATTCATGATACACCAGAAATAATATCCGTACAATTTAGACAGACTTTAATAAACAACTTCAAATATTTAAAAAAAATTCTGCTCATCACATAGTACATGTACTCAGTATTTACTTCAGAGGAGACATATTAACCGAAACATTGATTGATTAAAACTATGATGAAAATCTAAAGATGGAAGTCCATTACAAAAGGATAAATCATTATACTCACCAAGACAAGACAAATTGTCATCATAAAAGGCTCTTTCTGCAAAGTAACAACACACCAGTATAACATAACATTCTAAACTCTGCTTTTTTTGTGGGTTAATAAAATTAAGCATTTGTAACAAACTTACATTTATCAAATCTAATTATATTAAATCAAACAGGAGGATAAATATATTACAAATGTATTACTATTTACAACAAAGTTTCTACAGAACAAACCAGTAAACAAATCGTATACACTTCTCCCATCTGTTGCTGTCGTCTGTGCATCGGCTCCGGCTTTTAATAAGGCCAACGTTACTGAAGGATTTCCATAAACTGAGTTACCATGGGCATTTTTCATTGACGTCATATTTGTTTGGATCTACCCTTAGACAACATTGTTTGAATTTCAGCCTCGGTGTTGTCAAAAAGCATTAAAACTTCTAATGGGTATTTTCCTTTCGCGTTTGGAGCATCCAAGGGTAAATTGTTGTCAAATAAAATGTTTAATATCCTCAAACCTTCCTCTTTCAACCTATAAACTGAAAAAAACGATTTATTTTAAATAATTTACAAAAAAACTATGAAAACACTTTTTGTTTTTGCCCAACCCTTTTTTTATTTTTCAGTTACTGTGCTGGCATTTAGATTTCTGGGCGTTTACTTTTTACTTTTTTTGGGTTACATTCAGCCGCTATTAGCATTATGAATCAATGACGCTGTCTGCCGTGCATTGAGTTCCTAAGAAAAAAAGATTATTCTTTTGCTATTTGACTGTTCACGGTAGCTCAGTCGGTTGAAGTGCTGCTTCGTGATCGGGAGGTCATGAGTTTGAATTTTCGCCGCTACTGACATAAGTCGATAAAAATGGGTAGCATCTGTTCCTTCGCCATGCACTCGGCATTTAAAGTGAAATACATTTGCGGTCCTTCTGATGATACCTTAAAACCAAGGCCGTGTGTCACGGCAGGCGTTGGCACGATAAAGATCCTTTTCTAATGAATGAACCTGAGTGTCATGTAAAGGTTAAAATTTGAAGCCCTCACTGGTGTATGGTGCTGTCTCAACTTGAGTGATAAATTCTCGAAGGGGACGTAAAACACCAATCAATCAATTCAATTTATCATTTACCAGCTTAGTCTAGTAATGTGATTTGGATTCACAGACCTTTGCTTTATCGTAAGTGAATCGCTTAAGGCTCGAAAAACGTATACATGTATTAAGGTTTAGTCACGGTTTTTATATGAAAAACTCTCAAAGATTATAAAAGCTAGCTACGATGGGCATCAGTGCAGTCAAAATTATATAAAGAGGCAATTCTAAACATTCACGTGCGGGTTTCATCGTCTTTAGACAGTTCGCATCTTTTTTTAAAAACTCAAATTCACATAAATGAGCTAAACATAGTTTCACAGTCGATAAACTAGGTTTATCGGTTGTTTACTATAATTTACGGAATGTAAACTATAGTTAACAACTTTAATCTATATTTTACATCTGTAAACAATAGTTAACGCGATAATCTATGTTTCATAACTGTAAATTCTACTTAACACTGAAAACAATCATTTGCGATTGCAAAACATAGATTATCTGATAAATACATTTTCACGATTTGTAAACTATGTTTTCAATTATTAACTCTTTACTATAGTTTACGATTGTAAATTATAGTTTACAGACGTGAATCTATGTTTATCAACAAAATCTATTGTTTGCTTTATTTCTGACATATAAACTTAGATTATCAGTTGTAAACTATAGTTAACAACCATTAAATATAGTTTTACAGATGAAAACTATACTTAACGAACTATACTTAACGATTCGTAAACTATAGTTTACGGTTTGTAAACTATATAGTTTACAGTCGATAAACCTAGTTTATCAATTGTGAAACTAGGTTTATCTCATTTTTGTGAATTTGGCGTGCCATATATATATTTTTTACTAACAGCGTCATTGTATTAAGAAATAACAAAATATAGACTTTTTTAAAAAGACTCTTGATATCTTTGTATAAACATTTTCGAATGATATGCTTCCTCATAAAATTGATTTAATACATTATAGAATGTATTGATAGACATTTGAGGAAAGCAAAGGTAACATACACATTTGAAATAAAGATTGTTTCAAAGTCATTGTCATTTATGGTGTGTTTTATTTTGACTTTGAAGGGATATACTAGTATATCGATTCAAAATAGGAATGAATATGACAACTATTAATTGATAAAAGTCAGCGATATATCTAAACGTCCATTTAAAGACTACAGACGTTCATGCGAAAGTTTTTAAATGTGTAAATTCGACAAAAAAAATGACACGTTTATTAATAATTAACCTAGAATAAAGAATACTAAAAATGGTTCAAACATGGTGTAAAGGCTGTTATAAGTAGCTTAAGGGTGATTTTTGGCATTAAAGACCTACGGATAAAATACTCGCCTACAGATTGCTTCATAGGGCCTGAAATATTGCAGCTATGTAGACGTCATCTTGAGGACCTAGTTTAATGATACTTTAGGATGACTTAAAGACGATCTTTAACCATACTTAAAACATCAATGTTAATTAAGATAGCTCTGAAAAGAAGTTGTCCGTCAATTTTTCTGAACATGTTGTGCTCATAATGTCATTGCAACATCTGTATGTATGCATCCTCTTTGTTCTTGAAAATTGGCATCGGTTGTTTGTGAAAAAAAACTTTAGTCACTTACTTTTCTCCTGGGATCCTTTCATGGTTTTTCTTTTTGACAACCTGCAACACACATCCAGTGGTGTGTTTTTTTTTTCTCCTATATGCGTTATGCTAGCTCCAGCTTTAATAAGCAGGGTGACAATTTCTTCCGCTTCAAATCTTATAAACTTTCGTGAGCAACGAGTCTTCACCTTCTTGTGCTGTGTTTGGATCAGCATTTTTCTTCAACAATAGACTAAAGACTGGTATTATTTCAGCGTTTATTTTAACTTTTTTCTTTTTTGTTTCGCCACTATTGTAAAAGACACCTCCCACATCATGAGGAACAGTGACTAAATCCAGAAAAACGCGTTCCAGGAGACTGGTTCCTTTACTATCGACGCTTTTTAAACATTTCCTGTCTCCAACATAACAGTTAAAAGCTCCTTTTCTCGGGTTTGTCTGTAAAATGAAATTAAACTGTTTTGGACAATTGTTTGAATACTCCGGTATTCAATTATTAATTATTAGGTAAATAAATTGTAGGAATTGCTTATTTTGTACGTATAATATTAATTGTAAAAAGTGATTCAAAATAAGTAAAATAATATTAGAGTTTAATAACATGAAACAAAAACGGAATAATATACCTAATGGGAAACAATGAAAGATAGGCAATTCTCCATCAGCCTCCTTTTTGTTGATGTTGTACCCAGCGTTTAACATTACTTTTGTCATCTCTATGTCATGGGACTCGATAGCATAGAGTAATGTTGATTTCTTTTTATTAGGAAACTGAACATTGATGTCAGCTCCATTGTCGAGGAGACATTTAATTAGGTCCGTTCTTCTTGTTTGTCTTTGAGGACAGCGATAATATGTTCTAAGTGCAATGAGCAATGGCGTTTTCCCTGCGTTGTTTACTTCTTCAACAGAGCTCCCTGCCGCTAATAATTTTTTGGCTAGCGTTAAAGGTGGTTCTCGGACAGATGATTCTGTAAAAATATTTTTTTTTCAAAAACTTATTCCCCGATTGTGACAATCACTTCTGTATCAGGTTAGCTTTACGGCCTGTAAAAATATTTCCCATAGTTCTTTGTCGTTGCAAAAGTCACTATTTAAAATTGGTAGACATTTCCGGGTAGCTGTCGTGTGAGTAACACTTTTTAAAAGGGGG